CCCAGCTTTCCTGTAGACCCCCTTCAGTCCAGGAATGCTGCTAGAAGGTCACCTCAGGGCCTTCTCTTCCCCAGGCTGAAGAGCCCCAGCTCTCTCACCCTGTTGTCCTAGGGGAGCTGTTCCAGCCCTCTGATCATCTTTGCGGCCTCCTCTAGACTTGCTTCAGCAGCTCCATGTCCTTGTGTCAGCTGCCTCACTCAGCTTGGTATCGACTGCAAATGTGATGACCGTGCACAGGATCTCACTGTCCATGTTGCCTGTAAAGATGTTAAATGGCACCGGTCCCATCACGAGTCCCGGGATGGACGCTAGATGGAGCTTTCTGAACACAGATTCACGGGAGGACACCGCTGATGATTCAATGCTAGTATTCCTCTCTCCTTACGCAGAGGTGCTCTTTTCCAGCTAAAGGAACCCCAAAACCACTGTCTGCCCCTGGAGCCAGTTCTGTCCCACTCACCGACCTGCTTTGCAACACTGAGTGCCACCAGCGTGGTTTTGCAGCCCTGGAGCATCACCGTTTCCCCGTGGGCATCCCCAAGGCCATTGAACACAGCACATTTTTCCACGCTCTTGTAGCCAGAGATGTGCCGGCTGCTGTGCAGGGGTGTGCAAACCTGAGCTGGAACACTGCAGTGCTCAGATGGCAAAGCTGCAGGCAGCACGGCTCCCCAGGCACGACACATGTCCCCACACTCTGACCTTCTGAAAATAACCCAGGGTCAATTCTGCTTTGGCACAGGATGGGGCTCCAGCCTCAGTGCACAGCACCCATCAGGCAGTGGTCCCCTCCCTCCCCTCCCCAGATCACTGCGTGTCTCTGAAGAACCACTGCTGCTTTTCCTGTGCAACGTTATAAGGCAGCAAGGCACCCGCTGGACGTTTTAAAGCCAGCATCTCTTGATGCAGCTCTTCACTGCCACAAAAGCAGCACAAAACCTGAATGTCTGCCGCAAATAACTCAGGCCAGGGCTGCCCTGAATCGCTGGGCAGGCAGTGGGAGCAGCATCCTCCTACGGCAGCGATGCCACGAGCATGCCCGCTCCCCAGGGAGCCCTGCCAGGAGCCGTGAGGCCGCGCTCCCCTTTCCCAGCCCCGCGCCCGCTGCCCAGCCCCAGCACAGCGAGATGGAGCTGCCCCGGGAGTGATGCTGCTCGCCGAGCCCATGTGATGCTGGGCTAGCGCGGCTCCTCCATCGTCCCCCTCCACTCACAGGCTGTCATGGCGACTCCCAATAACGTTACTCCCACCAACTGCAGCTGGTGGCCCATCTCGGCGCTGGAGAACGACGCGGGGAAATCCAAGGAGGGGGAGGAAAATCAGGATCCGACGGACCCCGCTCTCAGATCCCAGGACAGGCTGGTTTTGTACCACTGGACCCAGTCCTTCAGCTCCCAAAAGGTAACAGCTCGGCCGGCTTCCCGGAGGAATCACCTCTCCGGGCAGGGCATACCCTTGGCTCGGGAGGACGGCTCCGCACGCAGCCGTTTCCCAGGGTGGGCGAGGGGAGCAGCACACACCCGGTTGGCCCTTTTGTACCCGTATTCCTGTGTTTTATCAGCATCTCCCCAGGGAGGGGGGGCTCAGCCAAACCCTGCTTTTGCTTTCAGCCCGGGGTTTGCAGCGGGAGACGCCTCTGCTTTGTGCTCGCTCACAGCCGAACGCAAGCAAAGCGCAGACAAAGGCTGAGCCGGGGACCACCCTGCAGCTGTGGGGACCTCGCACAGCCAGCGCAGGGAGCGACCCCGGGAAACACAGCCCCGTGCCGGGAGAAATTTGCCCCAGCATTGCAGCAGGGCCCTGGAAATCCCACTCCAGAGGTCCTCCATCTCTGAGCAAAGCACGGGAGCCAAGCAGTCCCCAGATCACTTTTTCCAGGCGATCCCAATGCTCATTTTGCAGCATGGCAGCAGTGCCATAAAGCTGACCATCTGCCGGGCCTTCTACCACTCCCGTGCCATCAATGTCAGGTGGGCAGAGAGCTGCCGGGGGCCCCGGGGAGCATAAACCAATCCCAACAAGAGGCCCCTGGAGCCCCACAGTGAGCAGGGATGTCCCCATCTGCCCTGCGCACAAAGGACCTGCAGGCGCCTGATGCAGCAGGGCTACGGCGCTTATCCCATCCACCCGAGCTCCCGGGGCTGCCACAGGGATGATTTCATTCTTGTGCTGCTGACAGCCCCAGGACCCCACTTCAGGGCACCCCGGGAGTCCTCAGCCCCTGCCACCCCACTCCAAGGTACTGGTGGTGAAAAGGATTGGGAGTGAGGGGAGATACGGTAGCCCTCGTTGGGCTCTGCTCCCAGCATCCTCCTGCCCTCCGAGGGACAATCTGCATGGATGGAACCTGGCTTTTCTATCTTTGACTTTAAAAGAAAAAAAATATTTTGTCAGCTATTAAATAATTAATGACTAATTCCCCTGGAACTCTGACGTACTCATAGAAATGCCCATATTTGTTAAGGTGCATTTTTAGCTGCCATCAGCTGGAGAAGAACATGCAATTCTCCTTCATTCAGCACTTCTGTGAGGCACGGCTCTCCGACGAGCCCTCAAGGCTTTTTTTGCCTGTTTGACACACTTGGGTCACAAAGGTCACGTGAAGCCTGAAGTGAGATTTCTGAGTGCACATTCACAGCGAGCACAGAGAAGAGCAGAAGAGGAGGATGCTGGGCTGCATGTGATGCCCCAAGGTGCCCAGGGCCGGAGTCAGCATTCCCACCTGTACAACGGGCTGGTGGCAGCCGAGAGCCTCGTAGAATCCTTAAGGTTGGGAAAGAGCTCTAAGCAGAGAGGAGGGGGAAACCAGGCACCGGGGCGCCAAGGGGTTGCAGAGGGCTGTGTGATGTCCCTGGGTGGCTGCTGTATGGGAAATGCATGGGGACAAAGGGGCAATGCGTGGCTCCAGCAGGGAAAAGGGGAACAAAATCCCCCATCGAACTCTCCTTGCTGCCAGGACTCCCCGGAGCACAGCAAGTGCCTGGAATCCTCCCCAAAGCAAAGCCTTTCTCCTGCTCAAGACGTGCCCAGAAAAGCCAGAGCCCAACCCCAAGAGAAGGACATACCTGAGTTATGGCGTGGGCTTCCTCCAGCCGAGCTGCAGCACCCACTGCAAGCAAGGGGCAGCATCACTTCAGCCTCCTCTTCCTCGGGTCTGTGCTGCTGCTCTCTCTGACCACCCACACCTGGGGGCTGAGGGCTGCCGTTCAGCCCTCCCAGAGCTCTCACCCCAGCTGCTGTCACAGCGCCACGGGCCAGACAGAGGCGACCCTGCAAAGTTCGGGCGGTTGTGGGTCTCCTTTGGGACGTTCCCTCCACTGCCAGGAACGGAGATCCTCACCCAGCTGCCTGCCTGCATCCTGCAGTGCGCTCAGGGCACTTGTGGGGCTGTGGGGCTGAGCTGTCCCTCTGTGCCCCGCTGCAGGTGCGCTTGGTCATCGCTGAGAAGGGGCTGCCCTGCGAGGAGCGCGATGTCAGCATGCCGCTGCTGGAGCACAAGGAGCCCTGGTTCATGCGGCTCAACCTGGGCGAGGAGGTGCCCGTCATCATCCACCGGGACAACATCATCAGTGACTACAACCAGATCATCGACTACATGGAGAGGAACTTCACAGGAGGTAACGGGGGCACAGCTGCGTGCCGGGCTTCGTCTCAGCACAAACGTAGGGCAGATTTGAATGTCGGTGGCCAAATGCACCCATTTCCTCCCACAAAGGTTTGGCTCGCTCACGTCCAATTCTCACGCTTTCCTATCAAAATGAAGGATTTCCAGCAGAAATCCTCAGACATCCCTTGCAAATCCTGCAAGGGGGATTTGGGAGAGCTGCAGCTGGGTTTGCCCTTCTGTCCTGGAGTCTATGCTCCCAAACTGAACCACTCCTCCCATCTCCATGGCTTGGGGAGCCCATGGTGTACGGTGGCATCCCACCAGGCTCTGCACGCTGGGGACAGAGTGACAGAGATCCAGAGGAAGGGACGGCTGAGAGGGAACTCCTGTGTCCTCCCCTTGGAGCAGGGCTGAAGCTGGGACGCTGAGGTCCGAGGCCGCTCCTCACGCAGCTGCTTTGGCAAGTAGCATCTCCAGCCCCTCAGTCCATGTCATCCCAAATCCGCAGGCTGCCACGCTGGGATGCTCTGCTGGGAGACTTCAAAGCCCAGCACGGAGCTTTGGCTGTGGCATCAAGACTCTCGCCCCAGCATCCATCAGCCTTGCAGCGGAGGCATCAAAAACATCTCTAAATAGCTCCCCAAGCACAGGCACCATGCCAGCTCAGCTGCTGTCCTCTCCCGGCCCGGCCACCATCGTGCTCAGCAGAGGTGCCGCACTTCCTTGCCACTGGGATGGCAGGCAGACAGACAGACACCAGAGCCCCACAGAGGAGCCCTCACAGCAGCGGCCCCACGGATGGGGCAGCCCCGCGTCCTTGGTGCACACTGCTGCGTGGGGCTGCAGTCCTCACACTGCTCCGTGCTGCTGCCTGGTCCCTGCGGAGAGCAGCTGACCCGGCATATGTTGGCAGCACGCTGTCCCCAGCAGGGGATGTGGGCTGACGTGGCAGCAGGGAACAGCTCTGAGCACGCTGGGCATTTATGGCTCTAGCAGGAGACACTGTGCTCTGTTTTGGGGGAACAATCAGCAGTGTGCCATGCACTTGTGGTTGGAAGCCAGCAGAGCCACCGGCTCAATTTCTCCTGTCTCTTCCCTTGCCCTCCAAAACATTGAAAGTATTTATCTTCAAGAGTTGGCAACAAAATCTTTCCGCTGTCAGTTATGTTTTCTTGCCACAGCAGAACACTGTGCTCCCTCCCCACTGCTCTGGAAAAACTCCTGCCCTTGAGGTTTTGCAGCCAGGTGCACGGCCTCACCTTCCCACTGAGAAGTGCCATGTAGGAAAACCTGCGAAGAGGAAGGATGTCTCCCTTCCACACCTGTTCTGTTTTAGGGCCTTCATCCACCCGTGTTAAGTGGGAAGGGCATTATCAGGATGTCTCTGTATTGCTGCAAGGAGGTAGAACTCACCTTGCAGCAATGCTCAGAGCGTGGAAATCCTGTGTAAGGAAGTATGCTCACAGCTTCCAGGAATGGAAGTACTGACTTTTTCTGCTGGTGACACTGAGGTCAGCCAACAGCGAAGGATGACTGCTTGGCCAGTTTTGCAGTGGGGCCAGAGCCATCGTTTCAGTTCCTTAGTTAAGCAGCAGCATTGGCCACATCTGCAAAAGTCCATCAGCAGCTGCTGTGAGCTTTGCTAGCTCCAGCTGCTGGCTTGTGGAGAGCCCTGTTCTGCAGACAGCCCAGCTCGGAATCTCAGCAATAAATTCACTCACTACCTGTTAACTATCCACAGAAGTCATAAACATTTATGATCCCATAAAGAAAAGCTCCTGATGTTCTTGGGGGAGACAAGAGCAATGTTTCCCTCCTGCTGCCATCCGCTGTGTATTCTGAGCTGTAAACATAATAAAAAAGAGCACAATACAAACTGCCACCCCACCAAGGTGAATAAAACTCAAACCAAGGAGGTGCAGAGCCCTGGGGAGAAGATGGTCCTGGCACTGAGGGAGATATGCTCAGCTCTTTGTTTTGTCATCCACTCCTTTGTAACCCATATGGAATGGTCTCCGCTATGCGACCATGAGCACCTGTCCCCAAAAGTTCCAGCACCTCTAACACATTTTCAATTTGCCCCTTCCAGAGAACGTCCCCCAGCTGATCCCTGAACCCGGGACCCTGCTGCACTCGCGGGTGTTGCAGTACCGGGAGCTGCTGGACTCACTGCCCATGGATGCCTACACACATGGCTGCATTCTGCACCCCGAGCTCACCACCGACTCCATGATCCCAAAGTACGCGACCGCTGAGATCCGCAGTAAGTCACCTCTGGGGCAGGGAGCCGGCAGGATTCCGGCCCTGCACCTCCCGTCTGGTAGGCTCTGTCTGCAGGCAGCTCCTATAATAAACACCGGCTCCCCTGTGAGTTACCAGCCAAGGATATTGGCTGGTATTCTGACTGAGAGGCTCAGAGTACCTCTGTAGGAACAGAGAACCCCAACAGCCACTGCAGGCTCCTGGTGGAAAACAGGGAGCTTTTTTTTTTGTGGCAGTGTAGAACCTACTGCTGGCTGCACCCACATCCATACTGGCAGAGCCAAGCTCTCATTCAGAGGAACAAGGATGGAGACAGATGGTGCCTGCCAGGAGGAGGTTAGCCCAGCTTGGGGCAATTTATTGCAGCCCTAAAGTGTTACTCTGCATTTTGTATCCTCTTCTGCCATTTACCCTGCTCCCTTCCCTCCATTAGCTCCCTTGCACGAGACCCTTCCCGACCTTCTGATGCCCTGATGGAGACAAGGCAGTGAAATGCTGAATTTCCCTGCTGGTAATGCTGGCAGCCCAGATATGATTTGCAAAGGCAGCTAACACACATGATACAAACCCAAACCTGCCAGCGCAGCCGCTGCTGCGCTCCTGGCCCAAGCGCGGCCACCCTCCTGGCCAGCCCTGCTCCTGCTCCGCAGCCCCAAGTGCTGTACCTGGGCAGGTGGATGAGCACAGCTGAGCCCAGGGACCCCCCTCATTGGAGTGGGGATGCACACAGTGACAGCACGGCTCTGACCTCCAAGGCTGCAGCCAGTTTGACTCCCCAGAGCCTCTGCATGCAGCCAGAGCTGGAACCTGGGATTCGTGGGATTAAAATGACACAGGGCAGGCCAGGACCCTGACTCAGGCACGGGGGTACCCGTGGCCCTGTCCTGCATCCTTGGCCTTCAGGCTCCTGTGATGTGGGTTCCCTCCCAGACCCCTTCCACCGTTCACCAGTGGGCTGCCAGTGGGGCTGCACCCTGCACATGGACACAGCTCCCTCTGGCTCTGCCACAGAGACAGGGGAAGGCAGGCCCTGATTTGCAGACCAGCTCTGCATCTTGCTGATGTTGTAATAATTTCCAGGAAAAAAAATCAGAGTAAAAGGTGCAGGACAGGGAAAAAGCAGCTTGGTAGCTCTGGGCAGGCAGAGGCAAACCCTCAAGGCTGAAAATGGGAACAGAGCAGAGGTGCTGGAAGACTCCCATCCATGGAGATTGAGTACCTTTTCCTCTCCCTCGTATCTTTTCTTACCAAATCCCTCCATCTGTGCACTGCACAGCGGGGAGGAGGCTGCCCTGTGCAAGGAGCTCTTGCAGCAGGCAGTCTCTGTTGTTTCGGACTTGTGTGAACACGTTTGCTGGTGTTTAGCAATTAGCAGCTGTTGCAATAAACCAAAACCTGATCTGTGCAGCGCACTCTAAACCTCAGCAGCAGCCCAGGCCATGCCAGGGGAACTAGGATCTGAATTTTACTCTGTCTGGCCCCGAGCCTCGCTGTTGGGAAAGGCCTGGCAGACAGCAAGGCTGAACCAAACACCAGCTACGCTGCTTAAATCCAATCCCATCCTTGGTTTTGTTGTCATCTCTCCCATCAGTGCTTTGGGACAGACACCCGTTTTCTTCCTGGTGTTGCATTGCACAGCCCACCGAATGGGGCTGATCTGTGCTTCTCCCAGCAGAGATGGGAAAAGCGGCTCCAGGGGAAGCTGAGCCACACAGTCTATTCTTTTTTAACACAGAGGAACAGCACTTCAAAGCTATTTAATGCATCAAAAAGTCTCATTTTCAAACAAAACAGCGGGATTGTGCCTGCAAATCCCTCTTAATTAAGCTCTCTGAAGGGAGCTCAGCTGCTTCCCAGGCAGCTAACCTGTGGGATGGGAGTACTCCAAAGCTGCACTTCCAGCCTGCTGAACAAACCATTTTCCTGCTGTAAAAGTTGGCAAGGCTGCGGCTCACCAGGGAATACTCCAGTAGGCTCAGCTCCTGCCTGCCCTCAGCTCATCCCTGCCCTCACACACAGCCAGCAGCTCCGGGTGGGAGGACAGACCCTGCAGCCCCTCTGTCTATCTCCCCCAGGGCATTTGGCTAATGCCAGCACGGAACTGATGAAGCTGGACCACGAGGAGGAACCACCGCTGACAGAGCCATACCTCTCCAAGCAGAAGAAGCTCATGGTGAGTCGGCCAGAGCTGCACGTGGCTCTTTGGTGGAGGGCATGACTGTGGGGATGCATAGCCATCGGTCCATCCATCCGTGTCACCACTGCTCTCCACCAGGCCAAGATCCTGGAGCACGACAACGTGAATTACTTGAAGAAAATCCTGGGGGAGCTGGGAATGGTGCTGGACCAGATCGAGGCTGAGCTGGAGAAGAGGAAGCTGGAGTACCAAGGTAGGTGCTGGATGGTGTTCAGAAAGTGTGCTGCTTTGGGGATGGCCGATGGCTCTGCACACTGTGAAAGCCCACACGGAGTTCCATGGGGCTTGCACTGACAGTAGAGGGGCTGCTGCAGACCATTTGGGGCTCTCCCATTTAGGGCACGCAGCTGTTATTTCCTTGCTGACCTCCAGGTAGCCCCTCCACCTCGCAGCTTTGCTCCTCCTGGCTGCTTTGCAGGAGCTCTGCAGTCACTGAAGCATAGTGACACGTCCCACGTTCCACAGTGACCCACCAACCGGCCGCTAACCCTGCGGTCCCGTTCTGTGCCCATTGCCTCCATGGGGGGAGGAGGATTCGGCATCGTGCCACCACAGATGTGTGTCATCCGCAAGTCTTCTCTGCCTGCCCACCTCCCCGGGCTCCCAGCGCTCAGCACCGGGCCGTGGCACACGGCGGGGAGCCTGGTGGCACAGAGGAGCCCAGTGAGGTGGCAGCTCGTGCGTCAGTCAGCAGCAGGAGGGTTGGAGTGGCTGCGGCCTGCCCTGACCTCAAACAAACACCGCCAAGCACCCGCCGAGAGCCGTCCCACAGCCCTGGCAGCACAGGCACGGCCGCGCATCGCTTGTCCCACCGTCACCTCAGCATCCCTCTGGAGCAGGGCTCCTAACCCCGGGACAGCTGACGATGGCAGGGATGGAGCACAGCCCAGAGGTGTTAACGAGGGGCAGCCCCACAGCCGGCCCTATGTGGGGAGCCGTGCGTCATGGGGCCCACAAGCACAGCACAGGGCTGCAGCGTGCCCTGAGGTCTCAATGCGGCACCACGCAGCGGCTTAATTGCATCCAGCAGGCAACCTCACTGACTGACCTGAGCGCTGGGGGGGATTCAGCAGGATTCTGCCTCCTTAGGTGCCCTCTGCAGAGCTGCTCCAGCCAGGTGCGGTGCCCCCGACTTCCAGGTCCTCCACCTGCCAGCCCCAGGGCCACGCAGCCTGCAGCAGGCTCTGGCTGTAGCACCCCCACAATTTATTAGCCACTGAAAATATTTATTGACTAATTAGGCCTAGGCAATCTGTCCACTCAGGCTGTGCCTCTGGCAGGATTAGGCAGGCTGCCAGGCTGGTACAAATGAGGCCTACTAATTACCAATAACTCTCATGGCCTGGCCCCGCAGGCAGCTGAGCTTCAGTTGTGCCTGAGCACAGGGCTGCCTCCAGGCACCAGCCTTCCACCCTGTCTGTTAAGCAGAGCTTCACACAGCAATACTAACTGCTCAGGGCAGTGGAGGAGAGCCAAAATAAAGGATTTGGTGCAAAGCATCCCAGGTTTTAAGGTGGGTGCAGAGCACAGATCCCTATCCCTATGGCCAGCAGCAGATCCCACCTTCCCTTCCCAGCACATCTCAGCATTTTGGGGTCTCCTTTTCATTTAGATCCACCAAGGGAGGATAATGTTTCTCTGCAGCCCGGAGAGAGCAGGAACTGGATTTCTTACCATGTACTGTGCTTTACTTCTGCTTCTGAGATTTGCTGGGCAGGTGCTGAGCAGCATCCCAACTCCACTGCTTGCTTGCAAAGCATAACAAGCAGGGATATCCAAGGCACAGCTCTATGCAGTGGACACCCGGGTTTTGTGCCCCTTCTGTAGTTCTTTCCTTTCCTGTACCTCCCTTTATTTCCTCCTTGTTAGCAGGAAATAACCTGAGCCAGCTTCTTCCAGCATGCTTTTTCATGGACATATCCTGGATGATGTTATTTCCAGGCTCACCACTATCAGGGACTATCAGTGCTGTGATACCTTCTCTCATGCCCAGCACTCACACGAGCTGTGCCTGTACCCAAAACCTGGTTCGTGGCACTGAAGCAATTTGGTGTCCCAGTGCTAGAGAGGGGACTGAGTCAGGACCTCCCCAACAGCATGCAGGGAGAGCAGCCAGGCTGGGCCAGCAGATGGTTTTGATTCCCAAGGATTTCTCACATCCCTAAAATAGGACCGTGTTACCGTGTCAAACAGCTTGCATCTCCCAGCAGCAGCCAAGGACAAATGCTGTTGCTCTCTCTGAGCATTAATGCAGCAAAGTGGTCACTGAGCCACAACACAGCTATTTTGTAGATATTGATTTGTGTCTCCATGCGGGTTATAAATGCCCGTTGCACGTTCCCAGCTTTGTGGCCCCACGTGGCCTCCTAACAGATAAGGTCTGGTCTTCTGGGACGTCACAGTGCTCAGAAAAGGATTTGGAGTCTAATCCAAAACCTCCTGCCTTTGTGGAGCTTTTGAGCAAGCCTTTAAGCATCCATCCAAGGACCTGTTCTCATCCTTCCTCTTCTGTCATTTGTTTCTCCAGGGCAGAAGTGTGAACTTTGGCTCTGCGGATGTGTCTTTACCTTGGCCGATATCTTGTTAGGAGCTACCCTGCATCGCCTCAAGTTTCTAGGACTCTCTAAGAAATACTGGGAAGATGGCAGCAGACCTAACCTACAGTCCTTCTTTGACAGGATACAGAAACGCTTTGCCTTCAGGAAAGTCTTGGGAGACATACATACCACGCTGCTCTCCGCAGTGGTACCCAATGCCTTCAGGCTGGTCAAGCGGAAACCTCCCTCCTTCTTCGGAGCCTCCTTCCTGATGGGATCTCTGGGGGGAATGGGATATTTTGCTTACTGGTACTTAAAGAAAAAATACATCTAATGCTGGCAGCTTGGTGTTTAGATTGGTGTCTCTGTGCTGTGTGAAATTATGACGAAGCCTCAGCAACTGTAATGAAATTTGAGGCAAGGTATGAATAATAATATTGTTTAATGTAACATTCCATAGTCTAGAAGTAGAAAAGTATACTGCAAGGAAATAACAGCAACAAAAATGCATCAACTTGTAAATGCCTTTTTAGGTTTAAGTATTCCACTCCAGTGGGAGGCTTGGGGGCTGGCCTGGCTCCCCGTGCCCACTGGGAAGCACTGCGGGTGCAATTCCAGGGGGAGATGGGCACCCTGAGGAGCTCCCAACACCCAGGTTAACAGTGGGACTTGGATACTCAGCCCTGTTTGTGTTTCCAGAGTGTTCACCGGCCACATTTCACGTATACTAGTGGGGACTTCCTTCTTCTACAAGCCAGTGTTATGCTCGAAGGCTTTTCTGGGGCAGGGTGCAGTAGCTGGTCACGGTGAAGGTGGATTTGCTTTCTTCAATTATCCTTTTTTTTTTTTTTTTTAAATTATTTTCATCAAAAAGAATATTTGTATGGAGCTGCTCTTGGCATACATCCACTTTGTATGTCTGGTTTTGGTGGGCTCTTTTTAAAAAAGAATTTGATGCCTGTCTTTAACTGCCACGTTTTTCTCCTGACATGAATGATTTTGACTTCCACCCTGAGCTTTGGCACACGAAGGGGATCCTTGTTTTAGCCTTTTGCCTCCATCTTGAGTTTCCTTTCATGGATTTGCAAAGCATCTTTCACCACCTGAGCATATCTGGACTCTGACCAAGGACCACCATTTCCAGAACTGTCTGGAAAAGTGTTCCAGCACTTTTCTGAGGACGCTTTGGCTTTCTCTTCTGATGGGGGCTCCTTTCTGTCATTTTCTCGCTGTGTGTTTTCTTAGAGACACTTTGCACAGAATCACATTTATGACTTTTTTGTGCCTTTTGCATGTTGGAAAGAATGATGGGCCTCACTGCTACTCATGCTTTGAAAACTGAGATCTTCAATAAACCGTATGGGAGGAGTAACTGCTTCACATTGCTAAACGCGTTCAACAAACTTCCGGCCTAATTTCAGAGCATGCCCACGTGCAGCAGGATGTGCAGGTGGTTTGTGCTTTTCCTTTTGTGTTGTATCGGTATAAAATTTGCATGGAAACAAAGCTTATTCCTCTGGCAAGGCACTGATTTCAGTAAGCACTCCTCTGGCTGGTTTTCAGAGCGTTCTGGTGATCCCTCAAGTAACGCTGCATTTGTAGGCTTGGGGGCGTATGCCGAGTGTGGCTGAAGCAATACGTGTGGCAATGCCTCCAACTCAAAGGTGATCTTTCCGTCCTGCAAAGCGGCAGCATTTCCTAGGAGCTTTGGTTCTTGATACCAGCTGGCAGTCATGGAATTGTGAATGCTGAGCAGGAGTTACGGGAGCTGAACATGTGGGGAGGGACCAGACAAAAGCAAAATGCACACGTTTGAACTGTGTTTGTCGTGATTGTATGGGGCTGGCCTGACCTACTTCTAGAACACAATCTGTGCAGCTGCAAAGGCACTGTGTTACACATTACCCCCGGTGACACTACTGGTGTGTGAGAACCCACATCCACCACCTGTGCAGGCTATATAGCTATAGCTATACCTATATACCTATAGCTGAGGCTATTGAGTGAAACATCAGACATGTTCCCTCAAATATGGTTACCAATTTGGTCCATGGCATCAGTGACTTCAGGGAAAAAATAGGTTTTTTGCTTCTTTTTGAAGAGGGAAACAGGGGGTTCCATGAGGCCATCTCTGTTGTTAATCTGAACGGTGTAAGAACATAATGATGTCCATGACATTACATTCCCCAAAATACATTGCATACACCAAAACAAAACCCTTACCATGGATTTCACCCCTTCCCCTTTGTAAGCTGCTCTACAGACACGTTCCCTGGTGATCTCCAAGAGCCAATTAAATATACACACCAAATGTAGAAAGGAATTGTAATTGGGCTAAAAAGCTACAAAACTCAGAAAGAACAAGAACAAATACTCCCACAGAGCAAATAAAAACACTGGACAAAATAGGTGCTTGTTTGTTGCAGAGCACTCTGTTATAACTCAGCCATCACAAGAATGCCAGGCAAAGCCAGTATCTAGAGCAATGCACAGCTCAGACCAAAATGTGACAGCTGACTCCTGTATTGCTTCATGCTTTGCTGGAAAGCCACAGATGCTGTGGTGATGAGTTTTGTACAGGCTGATCAGTACTGCTCACAAACAAGTCTTTGTTTTGGACCAAATAAAAGAAAAATCAGTGAAGACAGTGCAACTCTCTCCTGCAGAGCCTTGTTTCCCTACCTTGGTAATGAAAAAACACCACATGTTTTCTCCAGGGCAAAGCAATCTCCAAGAGCGATAAAAGGCAATTACAGTGACAGCAGAGGCTGGACTGATGTTAAGGACCATGCTGAAATGAACCAGGAGATGAATGTCACCACCCCAATCGATCCAGATTAGTGACTTACTATGAAGTAGCCCTGTGGTGATTACAGGCTGTCGTAATAAAAGGTTGCTTTCTCTCTAGCTGATCTAAGCCTCATCAATCTTCTCCTTTCCATTAGTTTCATTTAAAATTGGAGCACCATTGTACACCCCCATAAGCCTGGCGCTGACCCAGTGGTCCCTGCCTGAGGCAATTTCTATACAGAGAAACATAGAAGTGATAGCGAAAATCTATGTTCTTACTCCAGAACTTCATGCTCTGAACTCAGCAAGGGGTGGGCAGCAGCACCAAGGGGTAAGGCTGGAAGCTGAGGTACCCTGAGATACAGGGTTTGTTTGCAGCAACCACCTGCTGTTGGATACCTTACAATTTGCTGCTGACCAATTCTGTGGCAGCCTGCTGTCACTGATGCACTGCCATAGCTGCATGAAACAGAACGAACAACTTGTGCTGTATCATCCTGCACCACATTCCTGTGCACCTGATCCAGCCCTGTTCACAGCCCTCCTTCCCTTTCACGCACCAAATCCCAGCCTAGCACTAAGGAACCTCTTCACCCTGTATGTCAAGATGTTCCTAGCCTTCAAAATCTCTCAGCTTTAGAAGCAATCATGCTTTGGGCTCCTAAAGGCTGTAAAAACTTTAACACATGCTAAAATGCTGAACTTGTAATTACAAGAGGGAAGATAAGTCACTATTTGTCAAATCCAAACCTTTCTGAACACCTCAGATGGAGCTCCATGCCACTGAGTGAGCTGTGGGTACCCAAATCACTTCTTCACTCCCAGGCCTCCTTTTCAATAGTAAAACTATGGTTTCTGAAATCTTTTTACTCCTACAAGTTTTGCTCAAAAGAATCAATTATTAACATTAAAATTGTGTGGTCAGTGCTATGCCTGGCTGACAGCCTCCCCCTCTGCTTGTCAAGGCGTGGGGAAGACCTCTTCATGCAGAATCAGTTTTCAAAACAAAGCTTGTCAGCGAACAAAGAACAGAGCTCACAGCCTAAGCCTGCCTGTCACAAGTTGCCAAAGAAACCGAGATCAAGGACTAAGATTACCCAGTGACCTGCTTGTGGCCCTGTAGGAGATTAATTACTGAGCCTTGCTGTGTTTCTGGATGAAAAAGTATCCTTACCACCCAACTGGAGGCTAGGAGCTTTCATCTCCCAGCTAAAGAGAAGAGAGGTTGGTGTAAGAGCTGCTCCTTCAAGCAAGAGGAGGGTATTTCTGCTGTTACAATAAATCAAATAAATCAAATTCTGCACCTGAGAATGGCAAACAGAAAACAGCAGTTTGTGCAAACACTGATACATTCACTGTCATCAAGATCAAAACCAAACCCCTTCATTATGGTCCCATAACATCCTTACGCTATTTCTTAAAGCAAGGCCTCACTGATTCAATCCTAGTGGTTTCATACAAAAGCCATTTTAACACTGGGTCTGAGGTGTTAAGCAGTAGCAAAAAGCCTTGAACTTGTATTCTCAAATAAAGCACATTCATGAGAAACAAATTTCCTTTTCTCACCCCTCATGCTGATTTCTTAATGTGCCCAAATGACATTTACTACCATTATCTTTTATTCTCCATTTTACACGTTCTCCTCTGAAGGATTAAACAGAGAAAACAGTCTGCTTTAAATGCCTCAGCGAAACAAAGAATAGCACATATGCCATAAATAATTCAGACGAACAATTGCTCTGTCAGAACACAGATGTCTATCACTGCAGCAAAGGCACGCAGCAGGAATGGGGCAAAGCAGGGGCTGCAGATACACGAGTGCTGCAGGCAGAGCTGTATGTGCAGAGGGCATTTGCCACTGCCTAAGCAAATTATTTCCATTTGGCTGCAGTGCTGAACAGTATTGATGAGTAACGCACCAACCTCCCCTCACTGCTTACAACGCTGTTTTTCTTGTCCTTTTCCTATGCACAGCGACCTACTTTCAGTTCTCCTTTTCTCTGCTCCTCTCTACCGCTCTACTCCTTCACTTTCTTCTGGCTGTCCCATTTCCCTGCCCCTGGCACTGGGCTGAGGACACACGAGCACTTCCACAGGGACAGTTCTGTTGTCAGGAGCCCACGGGCTGCGGAACTGCACCAGCAAAGCACTTCCCACTTCCACCTTCTGAGAAAGAGCAGCAGAGGAACGGAGAAGAAAGTCTTGCTAAAAAACTAACAGCACAGATCAACTGCCAACTCTGAAAGCTTTTTGATAAAAATAACACTCTCCATCCCCCTGCTTTCACTGCCTGCTCTCTCAGCCCTTTCCTAACAGCACCTTCGCTCTCCTGCGACCCAAATCCTTTTTAGCTGCAGTTGTTATCCAAATAAAGCTACTTTGCAATCAGAATGGAGCATAACTGGGTTTGAGGGCGTGTACGAGTTCTGCAGGCACTCCACTTAGGGTGAGCACTTCACATAGTTCAGAGCTGCTTCACGGATACTCTTTGCATCCCAAAGTAACGTCACTCCACTGCACGCCTCCTAGAACAGAGAATAGAGAATAGAACTCTTCTATTTTTACTTACCAAAAGCAATTTCCTTCCACTCCTTGACCTAAGAACCAACCACTACAGAAGAGCAAACCAGGATTTTTGGACTCAAAGAAAACTAAAAGAAAGCTGAAGTAATGGTGCAGTACTGAGAAAAGCTGTGATCTAAAATAACACCCAACCACTGAGCCTACCAAGCATATTTTAAATCACTGCTTGCTTTCATCATCTGCAAAAATACTCGGCAGATCCTGAGTGACACTCAGAACCAGCACAGTCCTGCTGGGTTTGAGTGCAACAATCCACGTATTAGGGCAGAAACCTAACAGGCTTTGTGGCATTTGTATCGTCTTTATTTCAATTAATTTTGCATGCTTTCTTTCTGCCACAGGCAACTATTTTGAGCCGCAGCCTATTTAGCTGACTTTTCTCCAGCAGTGAGTCACGATCCCATCAGCCTGTCACTGATACAGTTGCATTGCGTGCAACCTTCCGGCTGCAGCTCTTCCTGGTCCTCACACAACGGAGGACACCTTACAGAACAGAACAGGATTGAGGAAGAGATTTCAGAAGAGAGCTGACATTTACAATAAGGGTACGTCTATTTATTGCTCTGACATCAACAGCATTTCCCACAGATTAAATGCATTAAATTGCACCACAGAAAGAATGTGACCTAAAACTGCAAAATGGACCTTGACTGAACAAAGAAAAATGCAGAAATAAGAAAAAAGGCATCTGTATGTACTTTTATTCCAAGCTTTTCTTTATTCAGCCTCACAATCCCAGGAAGACATGCACTACAACTGCAGACCTCCTTCAGGAAACGTGTGACTGAGAAAGGGCATTTTTATGACCACTTCTTTCCCTTAAGTCAGCTCTCCTGAAAGGCTCTTCATCTTAATCATTGTGCCATATTACAGCTCCAAAGCTTTACAGAAACGTTGTTCAGGTTGTCACAAGGCACAACATGTTGCTTATGTTATGTGAGAGGCAGAGGATAAATGGATAGATCTTTCAGATCAAATGTTACAACACAGTTACCTGAAATTTCAGGCACTGCAATCCATCCTGATGGCTGTTTGCATTTCTGGTTTTCCAACTTGTAATCTCTGTATTCTCACTGTACACTAAAGCACTAAGGTCCTTTATTTCCTTCATGAGTTCAAGCACATCAGGCAGTCCTGCTTCAATAAGTGAGGCATATTCTCTTTCTCAGGTAAATTCCATTACAGTGACTGACCAACTCCTTTTAGCAGTGGTTTACTATGAGTTGGGAACCACAGCAGCCTATTTCACCTTAAGCTTTGGCAGAACGGTTAAAGGAGGAGAAGACAAAAAGAGAAAGCATGCTTTTAAGCAGAGGTAAAGAGCTATTACTAATTCTGCAGTCCAGGAGGGGAGATGAAACTACGAAAAGACAAAACTCTAGGAAATGGGTTTGAGTGAACAGAGATAAGCAAGGAGCCGGAAAAGGCTGAGAAGCTGCAGGGATTTGCTTTGAGCTCCAGGAGTGCTATTGGGCGCTATTTTCCTGAGAAAAGGGACCACAAATTTGTTCAGAACTAACTGCTGATTTTCCAAGACATTCAATATATCACAGCATCCCCTGCAGTTTTGCAATTAAAGTGCACCATGGGGTACAACTGGGTGTTTCTCACATTGCCATAAATCGCCATGCATCAAAACAGAAAATGAGATTGTATTATTTCAGCTGCTCCACGACCAGGGAAGCATTCACAGAGCAAGTCTGCTCTGAGCAAAAACTCTCACGAGAATCCAAACATCAGTTTCAGGTATGATTGAAGTCTGAACGTCCCAATGGATCTTACAGAAGAGCTTTCCCATCTGCCTGACTTTGCCTCCTGTGACACAAACACGTGAAGGTGCCAGGAGCAAAACAAATCCTTAAGCTTTCCAATGCATTCTAGATGAAACTCACCTCTTTACCAGCCCTACCAGAGGAGAATGTCTAAGGCACCAAGAGCAGGAACTGCCTCACACACATCAGTCAGGCCAAATGCCAGTTACACTTCAATGGATATTTGCTGTTTTTTCATTGCGTGTATTTAAGTGCTATGTCAGTAATGTGTTGGAGAGAAAAACCCCCTCAATAATTGTGCAGGTATGGAAAGACAGCTTTGCAGAAGAAGGGAAGCAGAATCTGGAATTAACTATAATGCAGAAAAGGAAGGAAAAAAAAAAAAGGAAAACAAACACGCAACCAAAACCAACCAACACCTGTGTTTCACATGTCTACAGTGGATTGCATTTAGAATCCACTACAGAACTCCTTTACCTTTAAAATGTCATACTTTCTTCTAAATACAATTTAACAGTAATTGTTGGCAGCTGAAATAAAGGATCTGCCAGTTTGATAGGAAGCACCAAATCCAGCTATTCCTACCGTTTTTCTTTTGCTGCAAGTCTGAGACAGGGAGGCCGTGTTTTTATTTTAATGACAGAAGTTCACCTGGGGGAGGGAGGGAGGTCAGGTAAAGGTGATGTGAAATGCATGAGCAGAAAATTGGCCATTTTGACTTCCAGTTAACTGAAAGCCAAAAGACACCAAGAAGAGGCCTGGAGCACAAGGAAACCTTGTAAGCTAACAGCTGGCACATGATCTCTGAGAAACACGTTGTACAGGATTTCCAAACTCATAAGGAGTGTTACTGCACGGGAACTTTTCCATCTATTTCAGTGGATTAGGCTTTCACTTTGCTACAAAGAGCAACTGTTCACGTCTGTGTCACCAACTGCATGGCACTCATTAGCCATCTTGTCTGGTGTTTTTGTGGGTTTTAAACCTTTATTTTTGAGAATTTGTGCCACGTTCATCTATTCAAATGCTGTGCGCTCAGACTGATAATTCTGTATCAGTCACTGATAATTCTGAATTGTCACTGATAATTCTGTATCAGCAAAAAAATCTGGGAGGCTGGATCATTCAGGGAAGCAAAGAACAACAGAAGTACCTTTACAGACACCAGAAACACCCACAAAGACACAAACACCAGAATTGTAACTGTTTTTCCATAATCATTTAAATACAGTTTGACAATAGCCATGGCCCACGTTATTTCCATAACAAACAGTTTGTATGACACTAATCCAAAGCACAGAGAAACATGGATGCAGTGATAGCACAAAACATCTGTGGAACTGAAGATAACATCAGCAAGGCTGTTGGTTTAAATAAACTGCATGTTTTGGTAGCAGGCCTCATCTGTGAAGCAAAGTTACATACAGATAACCTAAAATAGAAACTTAAATCTAATGAAATGAATCAGAAAACCTTCTGGGTATATAATCCTTTTTCACGATGAAAGAGGCTTGCAGCCTAGCTTAACTCAAGAGGGAGCAGGCTTACAGTACATCAAAAGAAGGACTGCAAATGAATCTGCATTGTTCAAATATATTTTTAGTTAAACCCAGTATGAGTTCATCAGTGCAAATTTCCCAAAAAGTCAGCTTAAAGGCAATTGACTGCAAAGACAAAAGGAGGAACTTCAACTCCTGAAAAAGCTTTTCTGCATGGTGATCTGCACTTTCTAATGCTGCAAAACAACTCAGGTTTGGCACTGGGCAGAGTGGGAAGTCAAGGGATTTCACCTTTCCCCACAGGCAAGCCACAAACACTGAACTGACGTCGCTATAACTACTGCAAATACTTCCACTCATCTGCTGAAAAAGAACTGTAGAGATGGTAAAAAAAAATACAAAACCACAACAAAAATGTGCCAAGGTTGACTATACTGCATCATATTCTGTTCAACAAAACAATCAGTTTGGAGCCAAACGCTGCAGTTTGTCCCCTCTCACACTACAGCTGTGCCTACAAACCTCCTCAACTGCCTCTTTCAACAATGCAACCATCACACAAGTTTTGTGCAACTGCAACAGGAGCAAACCTTTATAAAACCTAATAAAAAGCTTTGCAAGATAAAAACTATGCTAAACGTTTGATATGATGAGCAAACCCATCCAACTTCATACCCATTCATTATACAATGAATTATAGTGGGTTTCCAGATGCATCAGAAGCAGCCACAACTATGTGTGCAATCAAAATTAAGTAGCTTATTGACATTCATTGATAAACAAAACAAATACTGCTTCAAGCAAACTGCTTTGCAGCTCTTAGGATGAACAGTAAGTTTCATTCAATACCAAGCAGGCTACTGAGCAAGTTAAGCTAACATGTTCATAACACCAGAATTTTGCTGTTCTGGAAGAAACAGACCAGAAAGCACTCATAGTTTTAAGGTGCTAAATGTGTAAGGTTAAAAAAAAAAAAACAAAAAAAAACCAACCACCCAACTTTCTCAATAGACTTGGGATTTTTTTGTGTCCAGCATGTTACAAAACGTGACTACAGTTATTTACAGTGCAAGGAGAAGGTAAGACTTGTTATTGAAGAGTTCCCTTTCCAAAGACAGGTATCACTTTCAAGTCACAGACTGCTTAAGCTGTTGTATCTCAGATTCATTCTCTTTGCTGCAGAACACGCATACACCAACTTGCCCCAAACCCTTGTTAGGTGTATTTAATACCTGATAACATGAGATGTTAGCATTTTGCAACTGAGCTTCACACTGCTTTACCAAATGAACATTGGTTAAGTCTTCTGCAATAGTTAGCAGCAGTCATTAGGAGAGACTTCCTCTAAGAAAGAACAAGTAGGAGTATTAAAAAAAAAAAAAAAGACATCTGGATCATCCCTGGTATTTTGATAAAAGTAGACAGAAAGAGGGAGAATTAACTTAAGGTCAGTTAAGGTCTTAAAGCGCAAAGGCCTCTGTCAGTTTTGGAAGATCTGTTCCTCTATTTATTAATGCAAGAAACAAATCCAACTTTGTATTTCTTTGTCAGTAACTCCCAGCCAAGAGCAGACCTTTTCCACTACCAATTTCTTTTTCATCATGAGCACAAAGTTTATTATCACCTCCCAGCCATCAGCTAGTAAAGGCTGTTTTCTCCAGCCCGTTACCTTGTTCCTTATGGTGGAAAGCCTGTAACCATGCCTGTACTGAACTACTCTGGCACTGAAAGAAAAATCCAAAGTTAAAAAAATTATCGGCTGTAACCGTATTTCTTTGAACTCAAAGGTACATTTGGGAGAGGTAGTCCGGGAGAAAAAGGTTTCAAGTACCAAACTCTGTATGTTGCATACCAAGCTGCCAAACCTATCAGTGCACCAAGAAGTTTTTGACTGAAATTGTGGAAATACACAGTAGTGCACAGAAACATGAACACCCAGATCATGGTGAGAAAACACAAGGACACAAACAGGCTGTTGATAACAACACGCAGTCTTGAGTTGCGGTCTATGGACAAGCCTTCCAGCACAGCCATCTCCTCCACGATCATGAGAGTGCAGTATGAGAGCAGAAAGCAGTGCCCCGAGATATCAAAACCATCCCAGACCCCGTTGTTCCGATGGCACTCCTGCTTGGTGGCATAGAGCTGGTGAGGCTCACTGAGTTTAGTCGAGGTAGAGCACGTGCCGGTGAGATTCTCGATGTACTCGAAGAGTTCAGTGCACACATACCAGACAGCAGTGCCCACCAGCAGCGTGCTGAGACGCCGCAGAGCTGCCAGAATGCTCTTTGTGGAGCCGTAGAGGAACTTGCTCTTGGCAAACAGGTAGGTGGTGACTCCGATGAAAGGCAGCAGAAGCCAGAACGTCCATGCCCAAGCCACCTTGACAAAATACCTGCCAGAGAAAAGCCAAGAGAGAAACATGCACATGTGAAATTTCATAGGCGCCTGCAGGAGGGAGCTGGGGGTGCGCGGCAGTGCTTCAACTAGCAGCCTTTCAAGGTCACTACTGAGAGCTGTCTAAATTAGGCCTATGATTCCTGCCCTCAAAGTCAAGCATAGCTAAAATCTTAACCCTCTTCTCATTGTTTCTCTTGGGTCTCAGACCTGAATAACTCCTTCACTAGGTACTTCAACTGTTCCCCAAGCAGCATTCCCTCAGACTTACAGCCTCATTTAGACTCTCAGCTGACTCACAGTACATTCAGTTCTTGCAATTGCCTTTACCCTACAAACACAGTCAACTTTGCCTTACTCAAAGAGCAGCTGCAAATAAAATTTTCTCGGCTTGCCACCCTGACCCTTGGTCTTCCCCTCCTCTTCCATCTTAAATAAACTTTGCTTTACAACCTTTCACAACCTTACCCTCTTCATACTAAGTAAGATACCCCAGAAAAAGGATGACTCTTTTCTCTAATCAGCTTAAGACACTTTTCCTCCATTATCACCTCATAAAATCAATGAAGTAGCATAACTTCACAGTAGGATCCATCCTTCGCTGTCTCTCCAGCCCTCCTTTGGCACACACAAATTCCTATGCCTCAAAATGCACTCCCTGCCTTGACAATTTTTGTTGTGGTGTCTATAAAATGTTGGAAACAAGCTGATGATGTGCAGCTATCCTATTTAGCAAGACATTGCCTAATTAGTTCTGCCAGTATTGCCCAACTAAGAGAAATCTTTTCAGATCTTACAACACAGCAGACACAAATGAGCAAAGAGACCAGAGCCTCCAACCTTCTGTCTCCCAGCAGCACCTTCCAACGCAGCCTGCTTCCTACCAACTGGAGACAAAGAGGAACTGTGCAGCCCCCCCCTCCATACCCTTCTTGTTTCTTGAAAAATAAACTCAGTCTGTGCCCAAGTTAGACACACTTTTCACTTACAAGCTCTGCATCTAACGAGCACTAACAAAGCTCTGCATTTTCATTAGGCTCCCAACAAAAGCCACCAGGGCCTTGCCCAGAGCTGTGGGGGGTGCCACCCCCACTTTACAAGAGAAAAGGCAGCAGCAATTACAGCTGCCAACACGGAATAGCAACAGAAAATTAAGTTCTTGTTTGGCTGAGAAATTCAAAAGCCAAAAAGGCTGCTAACAGGGCTAGCAACCAGCAAACCAGCAAGACATCTGGGGGGAAACTGCTTCAGAACCCATCAGTGCTGACAAACGTCCCCTACTAAAAGGCAAATGACTCTGCAACGTGTTTTATCATACCATCTATCCCACTCAATCCATGTTCCTCCAACTGTTCTTTCCAATCACACCCAGAGACTGCCAGACGTCACCGAGCGACAAATTCAAACCAAAGCAGCACAAAGACAGCCACGAAGGAGACGGTCGGCAGCGTTACGTGCTGCTGTGCCCGCTGAGCGCGGTGCCAGGCGCTCGGAGCCGCGAACAGGCGCTGCGTGGCACAGCCCACATAGCGCACAGCGGTACCGCGCTGCCCTTACGGGAAGCCACAACGCGCCCTGTCTCTTCGCTTCCCTCTGGACCATCTCGGTAACCATCAGTTCATCCACATCCCAGGAGGAGCCAGGTTATGCGTTGCCCCCCCCCCCCTTCCCGGCCCACCCACGAGCACAGACCCAGGCTCCCCGCCCGGACAGTGCCCGCCCGCACAGCCCCGGCCCCGCTCACACGTTGAGCGCGTTGCGTTTGTTCTGCATGGGCGTCTCCAGCACCAGATCGGCGTCCTTGAGGGCGGACCCGAGGAAGACGAGGCCGAGCAGCAACCAAGGCAGCCGGCGGCGCATTGCCGCGGTCACCAGCCGGGCCCGCAGGCAGCGAGCGCACCGCTCCAAGCGCTCCATCGCGGCCGCCGCTCCTCCTCCCGTCCCGCCGCTCCTCCCGGCTCCTCCCGGCCGCCGTACGCGTCACGCGGAGCTCCGCCTGCCGCCCGAGCGCCCCCGCGCGGCGCCCGCCGGGCCCTGAGCCTGAGGGAGCCGGAAACAGCGGCTGTGCGCATGCGCGGGGCGGATGCGTGCATGCGGGCGCCCCCTGTCGGACCGCCGCTTTAAAGCGTTGAGGGGGCGCGGGAGCTCGGAGTCTTTGAGGTTAGAAGAGAGCTGCGAGGTCACGGAGTGCAGCGGGAGAGCTGCGCTGTGCCGTAATTCGAGGCCTCCCTGCGCAGCCTGTGCCACTGCATCACCTCTCTTTCTGAGAACAAATTCTTCCTTATCTCCAATCTGAACCTCGCCTTGCACACCTTAAAGCCATCACCTCTCCTTCTATCGCTGTTACCTGGGAGCAGAGGCCGACCCCCACCTCACACAACCTCCTTCAGGGAGCTGCAGACAGCAATAAGGTCTCCCCTGAGCCTCCTTTTCTCCAGACTGAACCATCCCAGTTCCCTCAGCTGCTCCCCGTAAGTCCCCACTGTGCTCAGACCCCTCACAGCCCCGTTGCCCCTCTCTGGACGCGCTCCAGGCCCCGATGTCTGCGTGGCAGTGAGGGCCCACAGCTGAGCACAGCAGCCTTGCGGAGCCTCACAACTTCACACCATGCAGGAGGCAGGCTGCCCCCACTGCTCCGCTTCTGAACCTTCTTCTGGGCCTTAAAACACACAGAGAAGGTATTCCTGGAGCTCTTACTTCTCTGCCACCCGTGTTTGCAGCTGAGAGCAGTGGTGCCCAGGCAGTTCTGCTGTCATTACAGTGTCTGAGACTTACTTTGTTGAACTGCTGCTGCTGTCATTTCAACTTAAAATACGAAAAATAAACAATCAGGAGAGAAATTGCTAAATGAACAAGGCCCCTTTGTTCATCTGAATGATCTCAGTAGTAAAAATGTTCTGGGGGGGCGGGAAACCAGACCCCATCTGAGACAGGATTGGAAAGTATTTCTTGCCAGAGAGCATTTGAAAGTTCTGTGTTTTTGCTTTTTTTTTTTTTTTTTTTTTTTTTTCAGTCATCGTCAGCAAATCTATGACAGCATCTGGGCTGAAAGAGCAAAAGGATACATCAGAGTCGACTGATGCACAAGCAACTTTAGTATGTATGGATAGCTTCAGCTAAGGGAGTTATCCAGGGTAAATGGCATTTGGTGATTTATTATATGCTGTTTTTAATAGGACTGCCATGACCATGCCTAACACTTCTAGCCACAGCATTGTACCCTGAATTAGAGATGACAGGCAGCTGCGTTCACTCAAATGAGTGAGTATAACAGGGTGTGAGAGCAGGTTTTACATTGTCCAGCATTGTCTGCCTAAATCCCCTCCTGGGGGAGTCCAGCTGCCTTTGAAACTTTTCCTTCTTTGCTTCCCAGGTTTGAGTCTCTGATCTCCAGATTGTTTTCAATGCCTGTGAGCTGGAGATGGCAAGTTGCTTGGTTGGTTGCTAATGAAGCATACCGTGGTGTCTACCACATTGCAGGAAGATTTTGTAAGCTTGGCACCTGTTCCAGATGAAGGGAATTGATGGCATGGGCTGGAAATTTGTCTGTCTTCGGCTCAGCTTGAAATGTCTGAGGATTATCTCTATAAATCATGTATTCCAGCAAATGCAGTGAGCAAAGCTCAACTGGGTTCCAGGTGTCCTGCAGATTTAGAGTGAATCTGTAGTTTCATGCCATGTATTTGCTGCCACATGCACCAGTCCTTTTGAGGAGCCAATTTGTAGCTCCCTACACAGAGAAGTAGGATTTAGGCATTTTAAAACTGTAGAAAATGCTTTTACACATAACCAGGGAAGAGGATTTATTCTAGATGGATTGTAGAAGGTTCCCAAAGAGTCCTCACAGACAACATGTCAATCTGTGTCAGGTATAAAAACACTAAATGGAGTTGTTTAGGTACAGCAGATCTGGCTGTACTTCTCTTCCTTCTTTTCCTTAAGCTTACCAAATGCCAGACTCAAGCTGAAGACTTCCAGCCCATTCAGTGAAGATTAAATGGTGGGTTTTTTTGCTATTGCTGTTGTTATTTTCTAGTTGAACAAGAAGTTTAATTTGAACCAAGGCTCCAAACAATTTTGTTTTCACTGAAAAATTACATTCTGCTTTAGGGTGGTTGATAAGCATGGTGACTGCATGCCCAGTCACCCAAAGCTTAGGGCTTACTTGGACATGCAACATAGACATCACAGCAAGCTGAGCAGAGGTTTGAAGTGAATTTCAAAATGCCTTGGAAGAACATCTTCACTCCTGAGCTGTGGAAACTCTGGGAAGGAATCTTTCCTGGTCATAAAGTTCCATGATTTATCCAGTGTTTCAGTATTAATCAGAGCAAGAACACAAAACTGTTCTCTTACTAGTTTAAACAATTTATTACTTAAAAAAATTCAATTCCAGCAATTCTGTTAACCATCAATTTACTTGACTGCAAGCAAATCTTTCTTGCTGATGCAAGAGTACAGCATGGGTACCTTCTGCAGAGTTGAGAACTCTCATCTGGAAACACACCCTAACCTCAGTAAGCCGTCAGTGGAAAGAGATTGTAACCTATAGCAGCTCTTGCCAGGAGCCTAAGGCACATATATGCCTAATTCAAGCACTTAAAATAAGATTTGGAGAAATTCAGACCTTCCTGCAAGTCAGTGATGTTTTCCTCAGACTCTTGCTATAGCATTGCCATCTGCTGTCACCTAGATGCTGAGTAACTGGATCTCAGTATGTCACACACGGCCTCACAGATACATGCATGAGGCCCCATTCACAAGCATTTCCTTCTCACATTGGGTTTGCATGTTACAAGAAGGCAAGATTGTTACTGAGAAGTTAATTACGCCTTCAAGCCAACCATGGAGCAAATTAATGGGGTTTAGTCTTCCAGCCATTTGATAAAGCCCAGTGGGAGCTTCAGCTGTCACAAGTGTCCTAGTGCTTCCAACTGAGCTGTTCAACACCGAGCAATAAACTGTTACAGGTTTGGCAGTTTGATGTGGAGAAATACCAAAAAGACTGAACAAACTTCTCAAAAAACAGCTCAATCAGTTGAAGTCTCTTGAATTTGATAAATAGGACCTGTAGGCACCTTTCTGTGGCAGCAACTCTTTAGCAAAGAGCCCCTCAGAGCACACTGCCAGCGCTCACACCCTTGGGGCTGAGTTACCCTGCTAGCAATCCCTCATTTGGACCCAGGAGACCTCTCTTTCCAGCCTGCCCTGCTGTGTCAGAGCAATACCTACAGCACGGTGCTTTCTGCCTCCATCTCAACACCACTTTGTGCTCACACAAATGCAAACCATTTGGAAGCCATGTGCTTTCAGTGGCTGTGCCACTCATTCTTTCCAAGCCTTGCCTGCTCTGTTTTCCTTGGTGAACGCTGCTCACATCTCCATGATTGATTGTGTTTGAATTTGATTGTTAAGTGTGCTGGGATGTTTGCATGAGAGCTGCTACATAAGCATAATTTGTGCTGTATTTTCTTTGCCTAATAGAAGATTAAGCTTGAAGTTGAAGATAGTTTTGGCCCTTCGCTGAGACACCATCCTTCAACTCCAGTGCTTTGAACTCTTCAGCCTCCTCTATTCACTGTCAGCTTAAAGTATGCTTTGTTCTCTTGTGTGTCAGTGATGCCTTTGAAAGACAGCCAGCACAGAGCTGCAGCAGCCTTCCCATCATAATGACCTGGATCCTGCCTGCCTCTGGTGGCAAGGGATGCTCTTCATATGAGAGCATCTCATCACTGTTCTACAGAACCAAGGGCTTCTCACCTGTGAGCAGGTGCTGCATTATTTACTGCAGAAAAGCTAAATTAAGGAAAAGTTGAATCAAGAAACAGAAGAGAGAAAATGCTAATTCACAACCTGTGTGGCTGCTCAAATAAATGGGAAAGGTCTTCCCCAGTCTTGAAACCCCAGACATTTTGGAAAAAATTATGGAAATCAGCCCCAGGTAATTTCCATACAGACTTCACTACCTCCAGACCCAGCATTAAAGCTTCCACAGGTCCCTTCAAACTCTGTTCAGATGAATAGAAAGGGAATGATCTTAGCTGAAGGGAATTTTCAGCATAGTTGGTGGTTATATCCAAAGATCAAAATATTTGGGGATACGGGGCAAAGTGTAATAAAGAACCAATTCAGTTTTCAGTGGCACAAACTCGACTAGTGCTACAAATTAATACCTACTGCTAGAAATATTTATATTTCTTTCTCTGCACAGACAGATTTCAACAGAGCAGACTAATGACAGGTTTGAATTTATGGAAGAGAATGGTCTGGTGACCATGGCCCGAGCAAGGATTCAGAGAATCTGGTTTTAATTTGTGGCTCTGACAACCCCCCTCCACAGCCACAGCAAGTTCCTTAACCTCTATATTTCCATATCCTGTGTAGGAAATGGAAGCAGATATGTTTTCCTGCTTCCTGAATTTCTTTCAGAGATGTTATAGAAAGGGACAACAACCGTCTGAAGAGCTAAAAATAAGCAGAGCTGACAAAGGCATGAAGTATTCTTTCTGCAGTGAGAATTCAGCAGCCCCTTCATAGACAAAATGGAGATGAGATTGCACCTGAACTGTGTGTGTGATTAACTATACGTGCATTCGTGCAGAAAGTGCTCCTTGTCATTCTTATCTTACCTGACCTCGTAGTGCAGGGGTGACACTTGACCCAGGCTGCACTCACGTTTTGCACAGCACACGATGCTCGCCTTTTGCGTTTGCCAAAGCAAATCTTTGCTCCCAGACACCTGCACACACGAGTTAATTTGTTCTGTGTCAGCTTTTGGTGGTAGATGCTGTGCATTTTTATTTTTTTTAATCCCTGCACATCTGATGGATGGCACTCAAAGAAACAGTTACTGGTAAGCAACTCCTGTCCAGTCAGGTGAATATTTCTGGTTGTCACATGGGAGAAGCATTATTTAT